ACTACTGATGGTGATGATGATGTGGCTGTAAATGCATCAGGTCATTTGGGGGCAAGTGATGGTGCTGGAAGTGGGCAAGGGAACCACCTCTCCTTCCCAATCGATGAAAGACCAGTGGACAAAGTGGGAGAGGAGAGGGAGAGCGACAGGTAAGAGCAGGAAGTAGTAGAGATAGATGTAGTGATTGGCTGATTTTGACCTCCCATTCCTGTATTTGTGACCTAAAATGGAAACACTTAACTAGATTTACTTCAATTAAATAAGTAGTTGCGTGTTAACTTTAGAGGGCTTACCGTCTACGTGATAACGGACAGGCGTTGTGGACAGTTAACAGCAATGCCGTTGTCCGCATTTGGAACATCCGCTGAAACGGAGATCTCACCGCCGACCACCTTTCCAGATGCCTGCTGTAGACTCTGATATCCAGTCATATTCTGTGTGCCCATTGCATCGTAGAATTGTGGTGGATATGTGGCTGGAAATTCCTGAGCGGAAGTAGTCCCCACTTGAGGATGATAGGCAGTGATATAAGCAGTGGTATCGTAAATGGCATCATTGCCCATGGATACCGCGTTGTACATTCCTATTGTACTGTAATCACTCCACTCAGCTTGTCTAACACAGTCGTAGTTTGCTTGGTGGTAGTCAGCAGACCGTTCGGCACCAGAACGAATCATGTTCGATAGGTCCAGAGCTGTTGGAAAGCCGGGACGTTGGGTATACTCATATACACTTGGAGTGCTGTAGGTAAAACTCGTTTCCACCGTTTCTGCAGGTAAGTGGTTCAAAGGTGCTTCAATTGGGGAGAATTTCGGGGCCACTGAAGTTGTGATTTCTCGATTGCCACCGCCCATAGCAGTAGTACTGTTGCAACTGCTTGACAGCCGCTTTATTAGTGGATGCTTTGCCTGAGTTGTTTTTGCCAAATTTAACACCTCCTCCACGAAAGCGTCCATCCGACCTGCCACTCGAGTCACTGAAACGGAGCATTTAACTCATCAACCTATTTTACTTAAATAAATTTCAGTAATAAATGCCCGTTACCATGAGTGGTTGACGTGAGCCACTTCGCCCGTGCGAATAGAGCGCCAGCCTGCTCCAGGTCGCCACTACTTGTGGGTTTTTCAGCATCTGCACCTGCATTGCTAGCGCCTACTCCGATATCAGCGCTTTTTTCACCCACCTGTTGAGGTTGCTGGAGCAGTCTAGCAAGTGAGGGGCTCACACGCTGGGAAATCATCTTCTTCAAACTCGTGATCAGACTGGCTAGCTCCTCTGTGGTGAAGGGAAATGCAAAGCGCTGAATGGTTTAGTGGTAATTCTATCAAGATCAGTAACTCATCCTGTGCAAAAGTGATGATAAAGATGAGTGACTGTGTATTTACATAGTAACGAAGTTGAGAGAAAGTAACAAAAGGCAGAAGCCACGAAAGCATGGTGACCTTTCCAAGCCTCGTGATTAGCCTTCTACATGGAACGTTGTTAAGACGAGTCTTGCAGTTGGTTAATTAGCTTATGGGGCAACATGGACCGAGAGCGCGCGCACACAATAGGAGTCAGTCCAGTCGCCGCTACATCAGGTAGGCAATCAGATAAGGTAGGAGCAGCAGCAGCATCAGTAGTGTTCCTCAGCTCGCCAGTTGAAGGTTTGTCTGTCACTCCTTATAGCGAAGCGAGGCAGGGGTGATAATCAGATTCGTTAAGTGGAGTTAAGCGCTCTATTCACTCCCATATCCCCATCCCTTCTATTAATTTTTGTGGTGAGACAAGCGGGTGGGTGCAGGTAGGTAGGGAACGCGAGGGGGAGGGTAGGAGATTGTTCTGTTTTGTTTTCGTGCTTCTGCTGATTTGAGTGGGAAGGGAAGGGAGGGAATTGAGAGATGGCGCGCTTTCATACCCATATGCACTGATTGTGCTATGAAGACAAAGATATCTGATTTTCTGCTGCCCCTCCTCCTCCATCGAGTGCTTGTCTTGATCAAAACTGACCACAGTCTAGCCCCCCTTTAACTCCCACGCCCCTCTCACCAGTGATATTCAATTAAGCGCCACAGACAATGGCTTCCTTGTGGGTTATGCAAATTACGGCTAATTAGAAGGTCTTACC